AAAGAAAAGAAGAAACATCTCCCATACCCGTTCCTCAAAAGCAGCAGTTTTTCTCAGGACTAGAGTTTTACCCGTAGGACACTGAGAGATATCACTGAAAATCCCTGAAACTGTTTCTCCATAAATGCAGACATGGGATGCCACAGGTGAGCCCTAAATGTTAGTTGAGTAAGGAACAAGTGATCAGATACCCAGCCTGTTCCCCCAGAGCAGTGGCTCCCAACCAGAGCTACTTTTGTCTAGGTCACATCCAGCAATGTCTATGAACTTGTTTTTACCATCAGGGCCAGGACTTCTTTTAATTGTCAGGGCCGGGGGTGCCCCTGGCAAGCAGTGGTAAAGACCAGGGATGCTGCTAAACGTTCAACAGTGCACAGGACAGACTCCACCGCAACAAAAATGTAGCCCCCAAATGCTCACAGTGGTGAGGTTGAGAAATCCTGTCTAGGGCACTGGGCCAGCTGCTGTATCAAAGGTAACCTGAGCCCAGGGCAGCGGTTGCAAAACGCTCTTTCTCTTTCCCTCTCAATTCAGGAGGCCTCATAATTCAGAGCGTGAATCTGGATTTAGACCAACCGTAATTTCGGTCGTATTTCTCTGCCTTAAATGGCAGATCGTTTCCCATGATACTTCTCAGCACAGTGTGGTGCTTGATGGCTTGATAATTATTACTGTTATCATGGAGTTTTTAGAACATGGATTGCTTTCTACTAGATATTGGAGGGCTTTTGCATCCATGCATTTCTCCCCTATTAAGCTGAAAACTCCTCAAAGGCCCCATTCACATGTACATTCACTGGGTACGCCTCACCTCCAGGGTGTTTGGCAGAGCACCAGCTCACAGTAGGCACTCAGTAAACACAGGACTCTACAAGCCCACCTTCCTGGGTCTTGGAGTGCAGGGAACACCTGCAAATGAGATCTCACACCAAGTGTGGTAGGTGTGGCCCCAGTCTCAGCCTACAAGAGGAACCCTTCAGTCCCATGTCCTCCTCCTGCACCCTTTCCTATTCCCTTCCCACGCAGACAGGACACACAGCAGTGTTGAAACTCACTTGTGCTCAGGGCACCACCCTGCCATCCCTTGGGGGAAGGGAGAGGGCCACTGATTAACTCAGAAAGGGCACAGCTCATCAAGAGAGACACAGCCACTAACAGCCCCAGGGGTCAAGCAAACAAAACTCACATGGGAGGGGAAGCTGATCCCCAGGTGGGCAGCTCCACCAGACTAGGAGCCCCTCTGGGGCAGGGTCTGTGTCCCCCCCACCTCTCCAAACCTAGCTCAGAGCTGGAGGGGCTCTGGGAATATTTGTCACTGAGTGGGCAAGGGTCCAGGCACCCAGCTCCACAAGGTCAGGTTTGCAAATCTGCGTTTGCAGGGCAGCTCCACCCCTCAACTGCTCCTGGGTTTCTTCATTATTTGGAATAATTCCTGCCTCAAGGGAGTGAGAAGTTTACATAGAGATAATAATAATGATCCTGGTAATAATAACCGGGCGCTGCCTAAGTGCTGGGTGCTGTGCAGTGCACTCCTCATGTATTAGCTGGTGTAATCCTCATGGTAAGACACCTGCCAAGTGCCTGACCAGTATTTGGTTCATTATAAGCACTCCATAAATATGATTATTCCACCTACAAGAAGAAGGGAGTCCCTCTTTTCTGCCCAACACTTAACTTGGAAAAAAAAGCGGGGGTGGGGGACGGGACGGAAAAGAGAGAGGTAGAAATCCTGGTAGAAGAAGGAGAGGACTCGGGGAATCTGGGGCGGGGTGGGGACACTGAACGGGAGACGAGGGTGGGGAAATGAGAGGTGTGGTGTGCTAAACACAGAGATGCCCCTCGGGGGAAGCCAGCAAATTGCCAAGACCCAGTATTAGGAGTGAGGTGAGTGATTACAGAGGCTACTTGCCGAGCGTGGGAACCGGCGGGGCCCTCGAGGCACCCTACCCAGTCGCGGGATTCGGGAAAAGGGGTCCCCTCGCTAAAGGAAGGTACTACCTGAGGGAGACAGAGGGAGGAGGCTAAGAGATCTCAGTGGGAGACAGCCTGGGTGGGGAGCGGAGAGGAACACCTGAGGAACCCGGCGGTGACAAGAGCAGCTTGAGGGTCCGGCAGGGAGAGAATGCGGCGCGGGGGACGCCAGTGCCTCCCAGGTTCCTGGGCCCCACGCGCGCGCTCGGGCCGCCCCAGCCCCGGTGCACACTCACCCGGCCCGGGTCCAGGGGCGGGATAGCAAGGCGCGGCGGAGCGCGGGCGCCGGCAGCAGCATCTCGGGATCGCAGAGGAGTTGGCTGGGTTGTCCGCCCGGGCGCAGCTAGAAGGCAAGGCCCCGTCCGGAGGGCACCACCTGCACACCACCTCGATCCGTGGGGGGGAAATGGATCACCCCTACTGTCCTCCGAGCTCGGGATCAGCCAAATTCCCTCTATATTTAGCTTGTGCTAATAAAAAATATATTGATTGGCATAACGGGGGCATTACACAACACAGGGCAAAGGAACCCGAAAGCGAAGTCCTGAAAGTCATGCGTTTTCCCCTTCTTTCTTTTTGGTATGACCCAAGGGAGAGGGCGTGAACCCTGCCGACCAATCACAGTACACATCGAAGCTTCTAAACCAATCAGCGGGGCGGTCCTGTTGCAGCCTTCCAAAGCGGGGAAGAGCGGGGCTGAAAGAGCCAATGATATAATCGGAATGGGACAAGTGCTGAAGCGGGGCGGAAGGACTCTCTGCGCCCGGCCTACGGGGTGACGCCACGCGTGCTGCTAGAGTCCGACTGGCTTCTTTTAGGCTACCAGCGGCTGGTGCGAGGCTGGAAACCTGTCTGCTACCAGACTCCTCGACCCCGCAGGGCCACACCGCGGCCAGCCCCCTGCCTCTTCCTGGAGGCTGCAGCCCCTGGAATGAGCCTGCCTTCCAGCTTCTTGGCCAGGACCCAGCCGCCCTCCACCTACCCGCCAGGCCAGCTTCCTTGCAGATTACGATCAATGCAAGATGAAACCCCGGCTGGCCAACGCTTAGCTTTTCCATTAAAGCCTTTGGCCGTAAAACTAGTTGTTCCTGAGCTTTTACCCCCATGTAAAAATTTCAGCTTTCTTTCCAAAATTTGTTTGCTTGGTAAAACACTCGAATGCTATTTAAAACTTGGATTCTGAAGTGTTCTGTGATGACGAAGTCTCAGGGACCCAATCTATTTTACCTAATGTTATGTTTTTCCTTACTCTCTATTCTGTTTATATTTCTTCTAGCAGCATGAACTGGGCACCTGCCTAGGAGTCAGTTCCGATGCTGATTCTGGTTCCTCCGTAGGGCACCCGGCAGGCTACATATCCTTTCCGCGCCTCAGTTTCCTCATCTGTGAAACAGAGGTATTAATACCCAACTCAAAATGCCCCCCCCCCCATGTTAGGCCACTTCTTTTTCTCCAGAATACACCATTTAAGATACTTTGGGAGAATTTAAACACTTAAATGAAGAGTAGGAAAGGGAAACTATATAAGTGCCAAGTATTAGGAATGGCGAAGAGCAAATTGGAGTTGGTGGCGGCTGTCTTCATCTTTGGAGAAGACACTGGACAGGTGGACTTAGTTCACATGGAGGCAATGTTGCCCTGAACATGCCTATTAACAAGAAAAACTGGAACGTTGGATAGTGTCAAATCCAGAGCCCGGGAAGGTGGCCTCCTATGGGCACATTGGAAAGCCTGGAGGAATGGGGGCTTTGCGGTTAAAAAGACATCAGTTCCAAACCAGCCCAAGCCAGTTACTCAGCCTATCTCAGGTCCTCTCTTCCCCTTCAGTAAAATGTGTGTCATGAGTCCTGCTTTATCATCTTCCAAAGATTTTATTGTGAGCTACAAATCTAACAGGTGATGTGAAATCCCCTATTTTATGGCCAAGAAGCTAATGAGTTTATTTGAGTGTTTCTGTGGCCCTCAGCCCTCTCACCCCTCCCCCACCATCAGATTCATCTTCTACTTAAAAACAAAAACAAAAAAGCACCATCAATTCTAAGACATTTCACTTTATTTAAAAGAAGCCAATATACAGGATATAAAGGGCATGATATTTACAACAGTACAGTAAACAGGTTGGTTTCCGGTAGGATCAGTAGTCTTTCGGTGAGTATAAATGCCCCCACTTCCCTGTGATGCTAGACCCAGCTGGCAGACAACAGCAACGGTGGGGCAGGATGGAACCATGGGTATAAAGTCTCCCTGGACGGGGCTAAAAATCAGGTAGATGCAAAAACGTCCACAAGGGGTCTTGCAGGGGAGGGCTTTGCCTGTTTCCTAGAGAGCTTGGGAGGGAGGGGTCTTGGTGAGGGATTTGCTCAGGACGAACACACAGCTCACCCTAAGCCTGGAAATCTTCCATTCATAAAATATTCCCTTCCAGAGAGATTCTGGCTTTACCTACACCCACCCAGCCCCCTCCAGACTCCCCACTCCAGGAGAAATCTCTTCTACAGCCAGAGCTCAGTGTCAAGGGGGAGGACCCTGGTCCTAGGAAACTCCCAGCACCCTGATCCCTCCCCCAGGCCCCTGCGGGGAACACAGCAAGGCTTGCAGTCCAGGCTCAGCCCGGGCTGGGTTATGAGCATCTTTTGCTATTTCCAGTCCTGCTCCGGCTGCCTGACCACCTGGACCCGCAAAGGCCAGGCTCCAAGGAAGTCGTGTGCTCCCACTGTCACCCACGCTCTGCTGCCGCCTAACCCTCTCCCAATGATGGATCTCGGCAGACCAGAGTCAGAGTAACTAATTAATCAGAGCCTATCCTCCACAGCAGAGCTTGTCCCCTCCCTAGTGCCCCCTTTTCCCTCCCCCCACTCACCTCACTTCTGAATTTCCTGCAGCCCACCCTCCCCCTCAGATCCCCACCCCAAAACTTCCAAGGAGCTGAGGGGTCAGAGGAGAGGAGAATGGGGTGAAATGGGACCTATACTCTGCTGAAGCTGCTTATGGGTGTGGGTGACCAGAAGCGAGGAAAGAAGGCAGGGAGAGGGGAACTGGGTTCTATTCAATCCAGCAACAACATGCACTGCGTCTCATCCACAGAAAAATGCTGGGCTATCACAACTGCCTACCCTAGATTAAAAAACCCTTCCTTTCACAAAAATAGATGAGAGTCTTTTTGCTTTATAAATAGATTACATTTAGCTTAAGTTACATCTTATATTCTCCCCTACCCCACCCCCCATCCTCCCATTCCAAGCTTAAGTGGTTTCCTTCTCCCTAGGTCATCTGAGCTCCACCCACAGTATTAGTCCACGATGGATTGATTGATCCTTCAGGGACCTCAAGACAAGAAACAAAAATGTGTTGGCTTGCCAATAATTTTTTTCCTGTTCAGAATCTCAGAGGACTGTGTGTGTGTGTGTGTGTGTGTGTGTGTGTGTGTGTGTGTGTTTCACAACCAACCAGGGAGCCAAAAGGATGCTAATCTTCCTGTCCCTCCCCAATCCTCTGTTTGTATAAAACCCCCAAAAAATAGGAGACAGAGGGCAGTGCAGGAGAGCCTATCTGAGAACAATTCTAAAAAACCAGTGTCAATATGACACTGGGCTTAGAAATAGAAAGTCAAAATTAAGTATTTACAGCTTTACAAAGGATGGACCAATTTGTCCCCGCTAGGACTGGTGCTGCCCCAGCGAGCGTTGGGGTCTTTCTTGGCAAGCTGTGGGCTCGTGATGAGGGGACAAGCAGGGCCCACTGGCAACTAACTGAAAAAAAGCATGTGGTGGAGAGGCAGGCAGTTGGGCAGGCCAGACCCAGGAACCAGCCCAGGAGGCAGGCCCATCACACCCTGGCTCTCCCTCTCCACCCACCTGCCTCAAGTCCTCACTCCCAAGAGGAGAGCCAATATTAAAAGCCAGCAGGAAGGGCCTCTCAGGTCACGATCTCTTTCTGGCTCCTGCAATGTTCAGACTCCCTAGAGTACCCTAGTCCTCAAAGACAAATGGTCTATGTATACAAGGAGGAAAGCAAAACCAATATTACCAGACACCGATCACCACAGCAACCTGAGTTACCCTCCAACGCCAACACTGCTGCCTTGCAGTCTTAACTCTAAAGATATGTCTGTCACCCTCCCACCACCTTGGGGAACCAACCCAGGGCTGACTTCCACGCTGCCCGTGGAACTCCCACACCATGCCCTGGACGGAGGAGACCTGCGAGGGTGGACGCTTTCCTGCCCTCGTGGAAACGGAAAATCTTTTTAGCAGCTGAGGTCCAAGCCCAACTGGCTTTGATAACCTTTGGTTAAAATAAAAATTAAACAACAGTAACAACAATAACCAGGTGTGTTTGAACCCTGTAACCTTTAGGACATGGGTCAGTGAGGAGGAGAGAGAAGGGCCGTCTCTCTTCCAAAACCATTGTCCCTCCAAGTACCTGCCAAAGGGAACTGTTTGGCTAACAAGAGATGCTGACTATGGAAGCCTCACAGCCAGACTGCCACAGGGGGCCCGAGGGAGGTGCCCCCAGCAAAAGAAAACAAAGGAAAAAAACTCATGACAAAGGCCACCAAATCGTGATAAATTATATCACACGAAGTCACGAACACATTCTCACGCACGCTGTCTCTCTCGTTACATATATCTATTATGTACAGAATTTTTAAGACTGTAACACAGGTGGGGGAAACAGAAAAGAGAGAAGACCCTTAAAAGCCATGGAACCCTGGGGACCACGATCCCAGTCAAACCCAGAGCCCCCTCCTCTGCCTCCAGACAAGGCAGAGAGACAGTTCTAGTCCTTGGGCACATTTTGCTACTTTGACCACTAGAGGGAGCTCCCAGGACAACAACAAGTTAAAATCAGCAACAGACCCACTGCAGTGAGTACAAAAAGAAGCTTAAAAATAATAATAATAATAAAGCAAAGCCTGCTCAGCTGGCTCCAAGCTGAGATGTCGGGGGAGAGGGGAGGGTCACAACACAGTGCCCTTCAGCTCGGGCCCACTCAAGCCATTCAAGTCTTGGGGGATGCTGGCTCAGATCAACACCCCGACTGGCCAGCGGAGGGAACTGCTGAGAGAGGCTTGTGTGTGTCCAGGAGCGGAGAGAGGATGGCCCTCACTCCAGCTCCTGCCCTGCCAGCAGCCCACCCTGCCTCTCTCCTGCCAGCGGCCAAAAGCGGGCAACTGCCACACAGTCCTCACCCAAGATGGGTAGAAGGGAGCAGAGACCAGACCCGGCCCCTTCAGACTTTCTCACAGAGAAATTACATATCTCTAACACTCTATTGTTCGCTGGCGAGGGAGGGAAGAACATCAGGTTATCAGGGCAGTAAAAGATCCCCTCCGCCCCTGCCCTGAACCCACAGAGGCCGCAGAGAGCAAGCGGTCAGGCAGGCCAGTGCCGTGCGGGAACCCCGGGCTCGTGACCGACCTCGGCCAAACCCACGCTGCCCAGTCCGTGCCGCAACACAGATCACCCTCAGCCCGGCCTCCCTCCAGCTCCAGGAGAGGTCCTGCCTTCCACAAGGATATAAGGCAAGCTGCTTTTGTTGTTTGTTTTGTTTTTTGCATAGTAGTTTAAACACAGTGAGGCCCCACCCTCCCCTCACAGTGCCTTGTCCCTTCAACTTTGCCACCCCATCCCCCCGAAAAAAATGAAACACCTGTCTTCCTTCCTTCAGAGAGTGAGAAAATTGGGGTGGCCCCTACCCAGGCCCAGAAAGTTTACATAGGCAAGCGGCTCCTTCCTGGGGGTCGGCAGAGTACCCCAAGCCCCCAGGCTGGTCTGGGCTGGCTCAGGAGGAAGGGAGGGCGCAGCCCATGGCCAATCAGAGGAGCAGGTGGGACGGATGGCAGAAACCACATTACACTACACCCGGCTGGCCCCGCCCTCACCTTAGAATTCTGTATAAAAACACCTGCTAGGAATAATTCTTTGGAGCTCAAAGTGGCTCAGCTTAAGGGAGAAGGCACAGTTAACACTGCAAAGTCCGCACAGAAGTCTGCATTTGTAATGTGGAGAACAATAGAAATTGACAGCACCATTCCTTGGGTGGGTGGGGAATGGGGACGGGGCACCCGTTGGTGGTATGGAAGGAAGGAAGGAAGCAGCAGTCCCTCGGGGCCTCCAGAGAAGGGAGGGCAGAGACAGTCTGTGTGGTGCGGCTTCGAACCCCACTCCGAGGGGCCTTCCTGGACCCATGAGGAGAGGGGGCAGGGCCCCATCACCAAGACCAGCAGGCACGCAGGGCCTCAGTCATCAGCTGACCATAGGCTCCACATCCGCCTCCCGCTCGAACTCATCCTGGATCTCGTCTGTACTTCCTGAGTCGCTGCTGGCCACGGAGCTGGGGGACGGTGAATTCCTGAGAAGCACAAGAGGATGGGGAAACTCAAAGAGCAGCCCTGGGCCCCTGAAGGGCCAAGGAATGGGAAGGCCGAGCCGCCACCTCTCTAATATCTCCCCTCAGAGAGGCCTCGCCCTGAGCTCCCACCCTCACTCAGCCATCCTTAGGGTCCTGTGAGCTCAGTGCATGAGGTAACCCCCTGCACTGGCCCTACTTGGTCTAGGTGTGTTGGCTTCTCTAGAAAGAAAGCCCCTTGGGAGCTGGACCGTGGATCAAGCTTGGCTGTTACCCTCCAAGCACCTCACCCGGGTCTGGGCACACAGAAGGTGCTCAGTAAACCCTGGATGACTCAGGGCTCAAAGGGAGGCCACACAGGATACGGGTAACATCACTGGGCTGGAGTTCTAATTCTATCTTAGATGAGCTGGGGGTGGGGGAGCCTGGGCAAGCTGCTTAACCTGCCTAAGTGTCTCTCTTCTATCTGAATAATGGACATAACAACAGTGGGTTCTGGGGGTTCAAGGAGTTAAAGGTCTGACCAGCGAGGCCACAGCCCTGCACACAGATCTACCCCCGAGAGAGCTGTCCCTCCCTCTTGGACAGTAATGCAGCAAAACGAGGAAAACAATGACAATGTATTTGTGCTGTGTTTGATAAGCATTCTCTACGTATTAGCTCATTCTCAGCCTGGCTGTCCCCCAACAAGGCTGTGTGTCCTTGAAGACAGGGGTTCTGTCTTTGTGTACCATGCCTGACACATGTGTCTCCTGGGGACAGGCCCTGGGCTGGAAGAAGGTGATAGAGTTTGGCTGTGTCCTCACTCAAATCTCATCTTGAATTGTAGTTCCCATAATCCCCACGTGTCGTGAGAGGGACCAGGCAGAGATAACGGAATCATGGAGGGCGCGGCTTCCCCCATCCTGTTCTCGTACAGTGAGTTAGTTCTCATGAGATCTGATGGTTTTATAAGGGGGTTCCCCCTTTGCCAGGCAGTCATTCCCTCCCCTGCCACCCTGTGAAGAGCTGCCTTCTGCCATGACTGTAAGTTTCCTGAGGCCTCCCCAGCCATGTGGAAGTGTGAGTCGATTAAACCTCTTTCCTTTATAAATTACCCCGTCTCAAGCAGTTTTTCCTTTCTTTTTTTTTCTTGAGATGGGGTCTGGCTACGTTGCTATGTTGCCCGGGCTAGTCTCGAACTCCTGGGCTCAAGCAATCCTCCCACCTCAGCTTCCCAAAGTGCTGGGATTACAGGTGTGAGCCACCACCCAGCCTCAGGCAGTTCTTCATAGCACCATGAGAACAGACTAACACAGAAGGGAAGGGAAATCGCTTCCTATGGACACTCCAAATGGGAGCATGCCCTTCCCACCTCCTCTGCTCTCCAGTTCAGCAGAAAATCAGGCTTAAGCTTTTTGAGGGCCCCACCATCTTGCACAGAGCAGGCCTTTGACATGTATCTATTGAATCAACAGGGGCAGGGTGGTGGTAGGACTTGCATGAGATTAGATATGTAAGGCATCTAGCACATAGGTGTGCCATAGTCACTGGACAGATGGATGGATGGATGGACAGATGGGGAGAGAGATGGGTTGGGAGCATGAAACATGGCCAGGCTGTAAGTTGTAGCCTCAGGAGTTTCCCTCCAAGGACGCCATAGCTGAATCCCCTGGGAGGATGGGCGGGTACCTGTCTGCGGAGCCTTTGATGAGCCGGCGGCAGGTCTCCATCTGCACGTCCAGGCCTCGCTTCATGCTGCACATCTCCATGTACTCGTGCAGGTGTCGGTTCATGTCGCTCTTGGCTGTGGCCAGCTCCAGCTGGGAGGAACCAATGAGGAATAAGGGTGAGGGCAAGTCATCCTCGTGGCAGAAGCCTTAGCAACCTCCCCTCCAGGACTCCTCAGGGATGGTGCCATGCCGTCAGGACCCTGCCTTCTGGACATCAACCTCCCTCACCCTCTACTCTCTGCACACGGGTCCCCGTCCTCTAGAACTCCTTCTGGCCAAAGGGGAATGGTTGCTTAGCAACCCCAGCAGCAGCCTGGCTCTGATACATCCCACCCAGTTGTGAGAACTCAGCATCGCTGGGCTCCTTTATCCAGACCTGATCACAAAAATCCTGAAGTCTTTTTCATGTTTCTGACCCTTGTCCACTATGAAGTGATACTTCCTCTAGGAAAGGAGCTGGGCTTGCCTTTCTCCTGCATAATAGCGATGACTGTCATTTATAGAAGTGATCATGTGCACAGCCTCTGAAGCCAGACAGAATTACACTTCAATGTTGCTTCCTGGCTGCAAGGCCTTGGGCAAGTCACTTGGTCTCTTCCAACCTCATCTCCTCCTCTGTAAAAGGGGTGCATGGTGCCTACTGCATAGGGTAGAGGTGAGGATACCGGGCATCCTCAGCACCTAGCGTCATTCTGTATCACTCCAGTGTCAGCTCTTTGGTTATCATGGGATCATCATCTCAGCTATAAAATTTTTTTTAATTCTCTGAGGCAGGCAAGGATCATCACCCTCATTTGACAGATTAGGAAACTGAAGCCCTAAGAAGAATGTGACTCGCCCCTGAGGTCTCCTGCCTCCCGATCCTGTGCCTGCCCCACTCTACCAGTCCCTGCACATGACACATGGCCATTTGATTGCCAGGATCTCAACCATGTGGACCTCAGGAGAGCCTCATGAGCTGGCTCCATGTCCCCAGCCCTCACCTCAATCTGTCCTATTGTTTCCTGGTACTCCTTGTCTCTCGTCTTGAAGAAGGATTCAGTCTCGTGGATCAAGTTGCCCAAGTTTTCCTCTTGCTGGGGACATAGAACAAAGGGGAGAGTTTATTTATTTATTTATTTATTTATTGAGACAGAGTCTTTCTCTGTCAACCAGGCTGGAGTGCAGAGGTATGGTCTCAGCTCACTACAACCTCTGCCTCCTGAGTTCAAGTAATTCTCCTGCCTCAGCCTCCCAAGTAGCTGGGATTACAGGCGCATGCCACCAGGCCTGGCTAATTTTTGTATTTTTTAGTAGAGATGGGTTTTCGCCACGTTGACCAGGCTGGTCTCGAACTCCTACACAGGTGATCAGCCCGCGTCAGCCTCCCAAAGTGCTGGAATACCAGGCATGAGCCACCGTGCCCAGCACAAAGGGGACAGTTTAACTGGGTGGTGGGGGCTGTAGGAAAATAACAGGGCTGAGGGGTCACTGAAAGGAGGTGCCTCCCAGGCCCCTAGTCCCTGGCCTTTGGGAAGCCAGGCCCTGGGCTCACCTCGCCCTGCAGGTCAATGGTTGGATTGCAGTTGGTGAAATCCTCCCAGAGCAGCAGCGTGTCTTCATTCTCTTCCCACGTCAGGCTGTCACAGTCGTCGTCAAAGTCAAAGGTCTCCCGCCTATGGGGATGACACCAAAGGGCATGAATGAACAGAAGCCAGGCTCCAGGGACACATACAGGGGACAGAAAGGGGCAGCTGCCCAGTGGGCACACATCTTCAAGGCTGTCCTCAGAAAAGACAGAGTGGTAGCCAAAGGGGATGTTCACCTTATACAAAAGGAGCTTAACTCTTTTAAAATACAGAATGTATTTATGTATTGTTTCTACAATTAAAAATGTGTATTTCTTTTAAATTTCAGGCTTTAATTGGGACTAAAGATATTTTCCTCCAAGTCCAATCTTGCAATTTTCCTCACTCATTTAACAGCTATTTCTTGAGCCCCTAGTTTGAGTAAGATGCTCAATATAGTATCTTCTCTGCAATTTGGAAAGGTTGGTATTATTCCTGCTTTACAGATGAAGAAATTGTGGCTCAGAAAGGATAACCCAACTGTCTGAAGCCACATAGCTAGCATAGCTAGCAGGTAGCAGAAACAGGCTAGAATACCAGACCTCTCTGTTTCCTACAGCTTTTTCCTCCCCATCAAGATACTCCCCAAGCACCCATTAGGTGCTGGGCACTGGACCAGCCACTCAGCATACAGCAAAATGCAACACCCTCAAAACAATTCCACCCTCACAACGATTCCACCCTCAAAACAATCCTGTGAGGTAAGCATAACTATCATTCCCATTTACAGGAGAGGAAATGGAGGCTCAGAGGGATCCAATGCCTTCTAGACCAATAAATGCTAGAAATGAGGTTTGAATTCAAAGCCTGGGGGATGTCAAGGCCTCCCTGTTGGCTAGAATGGGAAGGAGGCTGCCCAACCCTGCAAGTTTCCCTGGGATTAACGGGCCTCCCAAGATGCACTGGTCACCCTCCTGGAGGAGAGCCACAGATCAGCCCATCCCACACACGCCTCTTTCCAAGAGGAAGACTGCGTCCGTGGGAGTGAAATCACTTGAGCCGGTGCATCAACAGCACAGGACGGTGTGGACCCTGTCTCCAGGCTGCCATCCCAGGGATCCCTCCATTGCCCGCACTCCCTCAGCTCCTTCCTGGATCCTCCAGGGTAATCGGTGTTCCCAACGGACTGGGTTCGGAACTGGGCAGGCCCCAAGAAGAATGTCTGGTAAAAAGCTGCCGCAAGCCCGGGCGCGGTGGCTCACGCCTGTAATCCCAGCACTTTGGGAGGCCAAGGAGGGCAGATCACACGGTCAGGAGATTGAGACAATCCTGGCCAACATGGTGAAACCTCATCTCTATTAAAAATACAAAAAATAGTTGGGCATGGTGGCGGGCACCTGCAGTCCCAGCTACTCGGGAGCCTGGGGCAGGAGAATCGCTTGAACCTGGGAGGTGGAAGCTGCAGTGAGCCGGGATCATGCCACTGCACTCCAGCCTGGAGACAGAGCTAGATTGTCTCAAAAAAAAAAAAAAAAAAAAAAAAAGCTGCCTCAAACGCCCCCTGGAGTCAGAGCCGGGCGGGCTCCCCTCCAAAAGCTATTCCCACAGGAGCCCATAGGTGCCTTTGCGAGTCCAGGGACCAGAGCTGGGAGGCGGGTGCTGGAGAGGGCTGCGTGGCCGGGAGACGCTGGGGTCCAGCCATCACTGCATCACACACACACTCAACTCCTGACTTCACTTCCTTCCCAGAGTCTGGGATCTGAAGGAAGCCCCAGCCGAGGGACAGGAAGCCGGGAAGGACAGGAAGACCGGCAAGAGAAAGGACTCGGAAGAAGTCCCCCTTCGCAAATCTGGAGAGTGGGGCTGAGGAGGAGTCTTGGCCCTGGTTGGGGAGAGCCACACGTTCCCCTCTTCTTGGTCTGAAGCCCAAGCAACTGACTTGGATCAAAACAAAACACAACCCTAACACAGCTGCATTATTCAAACACTTCATCAGATCTGGCCAGGGGCAGCCTAGCTAGGGTCCTGCCCACTACTGGGGGAGATGTCTGTCCCTGGGAAAGGCCCAAGGCCCCACCTGGGCTGGGGTCAGGGTGGCCCACACAGAACTGCAGAATAGGGCTTGGGGGTGGTCATAGTGATCAGAGCTTTCATTGTTTGTTTTAACTCCGGTGGCTTTACAACCAGCTAAACCTAATTCCAAACTGAACCCCATTCATCCCTGTCAACATTGAGGCGCCCGCTCCTGCAGCTGGTCTCACCCGACTTGGATCTGAATCCTCTTTCTACACACTGGAGCCCTTGCCTGTGGCCCCCTGGCTTCCATTCCGGTCTGTCTTCCTTTGTAGCTCACCCCATTCCCGGTGCAGGGACAACAATTTCTTCAGATAAGTCCTTTAATTCAACCACATGGACCCAGCCTGGGGTCTCCGGGACATACAATCCTGTCTTAGACTCAGAAATGCCCAAGGCAATGTTCAGAAAACCTAGACCCAACCACTGGTTCTTTTCAAAAGCCCCTCTTGGCCGGGCGCAGTGGCTCAGGCCTGTAATTCCAGCACTTTGCGAGGCCACCATAGGTGGATCTCTTGAGACCAGGAGTTTGAGAACAAACTGGGCAATATGGTAAAAACCCCATCTCTACTGAAAAAATCCAAAAGAAATTTAGGCAGGTGTGGTGGTGAGTGCCTGTAGTCTCAGCTACTTGGGAGGCTGAGGCAGGAGAATCACTTGAACCTGGGAGGCAGAAGCTGCAGTGAGCTGAGATCACACCACCGCACTCTAGCCTGGGTGACAAAGTAAGTCTCTGTCTCAAAAAAAAAAAAAAAAAAAAAAAAAGCCCTTCTTGGCAGGCAGCGAAAGATGAAAATATGAGATGGGGGGTGTCAAAAGATGAATCAAGAATCTAGGGGTCTCCTTATCACCCTCAAATAGCAAACCCCCAAAATACAGCTCCCATCTCAGTTCTGTTTCAGGGGAATGGTGGGTCCAGGAAGTATCAGGCGAAAGAGTTCCTGTCCCCACCCAGTTCCAACCCTGCTCCTGGCTCCTATATACCTTAAAAGTCAGCCTGGAATAGGGACAGAAGAGAGTTCTCTTCCAAGCATGGTGAAGGGGACAAAGCCCTGGACCAAGAGTTGGGGACCTGGCCCTGTCCTAACTCCATACCTGTGCCCCTCTCTGAGCCCATTCTCTCATCTGAACGTCAGGAGTGAGCTCTGGACTATGGAATTCCGAGTCAGCCTCAGAGCTCTGCAGGAAGGTTAGGAGAGCCCATGCCCCTGGCTTTTGAAACATGTGATGTCAGAGGTGTCTGCTAGAAGGAGCAGCCCTCTCTTGGGTGGGGGTGGTTCTGGGAGGTGGCAGGGCCTCCCAGAGCTCTGATTGGTAGCATTTGCCAATTTCCTGAAATGGCAAATTCTAAGCTACTAATATAACATCACGGAGGCTGGAGTGGGCATAGCAGCTTCTAAGAGCTGGCACCAGCAGGCTCGCCCACCACTGACCATACCCAGCTCAGACCCTGCCAACACCCCAAGCCGCATTTCCTTCTGAGAGCGCAATAGTGTGGGAGAGGGGCCTGGCTCTGAATCCCAGCTTGGCCACATACTAGCTGAGCAGTGTTGGCCAAGTCCCTTCTCCTCTCAGTCTGTTTCCTCATCTACAAAAGAGGAGTGATCAGCCATCTCCTAGGTTGGGTGTCTGGAGTCAGTGAAGTGGTATTTGTGAAGCACCCTCCAAGTGAACATCAGGAGCCATTTCTGCAACCCGTGTGGTCAACTCAGCCAGCCCACCAAGGGCAAACTAGTGCAGGTGGGTCTGTCTAAGCTCTGCTCAAGAATGGCCCACAGGCTAGGTGTGGTGGCTCATGCCTGTAATCCCAGCACTTTGGGAGGCTGAGATGGGCAGATCCCTTGAGGTCAGTAGTTCGAGACCAGCCTGGCCAACATGGTGAAACCCCGTCCCTACTAAAAATACAAAAATTAGCCAGGCATCATGGTGCATGCCGGTGATCCCAGCTACTCAGGAGGCTGAGGCAGGAGAATAGCTTGAACCCAGTACTCCAGTCTGGGTGACAGAGTAAGACTCTGTCTCAAAAAAAAAAAAAAAAAAAAAAAAAAAAATGGCCTACAAATAAGACCACCACTGCCACTGTCCCTTCTGGGCTCATGATATCCTCAGACACATACATGTCTACATGTGACCAGGGAGGGGAGAGCCCAGCCCCTGTATCTCATAAGCAAGAACACCCCTCCTCCCGCAGCCTTTTCAGAGGAAGCTTTCAAAGGAAAGGCAGGAGAAGGGTAGAGAACATAAAGGATGGTGGTGAACGGGGGAATATGTGCCTGCCCAGATTCAGCAGCCGCCACCCAGCAGTGTCAACTGTGCCCCAGGCTCAGCGATGCCTGCCCTCCTCAAGCTTCCTAGAGAGGCTGAACATATGAAACTTCCCAAATCACAAATGTTGAAAATGTATCTTGACTGGGTGAAACAGTTCATGCCTACAATCCCAGCACTTTGGGAGGCCAAGGCACGAGCATCTCTTGAGTTCAGGAATTCGAGACAAGCCTGGGCAACACGGCGAGACCCTGTCTCTACAAAAAAAATTTAAAAATTAGCTGAGCGTGGTGGCATGTGCCTGTGGTCCCAACTACTTGGGAGGCTGAGATGAAGGGATCTCTAAACCCAAGAGGTTGAGGCTGCAGTGACCTGTGACTGTGACACTGCACTCCAGCCTCCAGCCTGAGAGATAAAGTGAGACGCTGTCACAAAAATAAATAAATAAAAGGAAATGCATCTAAACTCATCCAGTGCACGAGCTACTCTCAGCCCAAGCCCCCTGTTCACCGACTCTGCGCAAGCGGGCCACGGGGATACTCACAGCTGGTTAAACATGCGCTTCATCTCATCAGTGATGTTCATTGAGCCGACCTCGTCATCTGAGAACCGGTTCACCTCCCCGTCCTGCTCGGAGATGTCATCATCAGAAGCCACCTTACGCTCTTTCTTTTTGGGGACCACCTGAACCGGAAAGAAAGCAATCAAGGTAATTGAGGGGGTCTCGCCTAGGATGGAGGGTAAGGATGAACTGGGAAGGGAGCTGGCATCCCATAGGATGATGAGCGTGGCTGGAGCCAGCCAGTGCCAGGAAAGGTGTGCAGGTCCTCTAAGAAGCAGGCGGCATTAGCAGAAAGCGTGAGGTGGGAGACATGCAGGGGGGACACAGATGGCCTGGACTCTTCCCTTCCCTGGGGGGCCTGGTGGGTGCGCCGGCTCAGCTCGCCCTTTCACCACAGAAGCAGCCCCACGGTTTGGAGAGAGGAGCAGGCCAGACCAGGACACAGAGTCGCCTGGGATATCTCAGAGCCAGCCAGAGAGACGGAGAACCCCTGACAAAGGCCATACGGCCCCATGCTGCCCAGAGCCCTCCTGCTCACATGCAAAGGCAAAGGACAGGTGGCCCAAGGTTCACCAGAAGCTTCCACTCCAAGCAGACAAGCCATGAGCAAACAAAGGCTGCACTGGCCTCCCCTGCCTCCCCACAGAGGGACAGCAAGAAGGCATGGAAGTGGAGAGAGCCCCAGGGAGGCCCAGATCTGGCCCAGCGACGTCAGAGTCACACACACAGAGCGACGACACACCATACACTGCCCTGGGCTCAAGCAAAAGCCAAACCACAACCCGAAACTCAAGAAGCAGCTTTCGGAGAATGACATGTGCCTCATTCAGCTGGACTAGCCCCCAGCCCTCTCCGGAGGACAGCCTCACTCGCGCTAACCTGATCGCCGTCTCTCGGGGGCACCCACACTTGCACGTTAGGTCGGGGGGGTATCGAGAGCCTCTTTGGAGGGGAATGAAAAATAGTCAATGGCCAACAGGTCCTCTTCTGAACTCTGAGGCCCCTCTGCCAGAGCTCAGGCCAGCTCCCCCAGTTCTCCCCATAACCTGGCCAGGGCTCCCCAACCATGGGGATGATGCCCAGTTCTGGCACCCAGAGGAAGGGGCAGGAAGCGGGGCAGTGGGTGTAGTGTGGGCTGGTGGAGCAGGCCCTGGAGGGGCAGGAGACTGAGTTCTGCCACTTCCTTCCTTGAGTACAGCACATCACCCTCCAGGCCTCAGTCCCCCAGCCATAGGATGAAGTAGTCAGACCAGCCTATGAGTCCACGGTTGCCTGATTCTACTTTTCCTGGGGAGCCACAGGGTCGAGCAGTGCTACCTCTCGGGGAAAGGGAGGGAGTGAGTGGGATGTGGAGGGAAACAGGGGTTGGCCAGGCAGGGGTGGAGGCCAGGGCTGCACTGGGAGAGTGGGGGATTGGCTGGTGAGCAGGGCAGCCCTAGTCACCTGGAAGATCTTGGACACGTCTTCCGAGTTCCGCTGCTGTGCGACATCGCACAGCTTAGCCGTGATATCGATTCGGCGGCAGATGTCCATGTCCACCTTCATGGCCTTTTCTTGGATCTTTGTGTCCAGGTCTGTCATGGGCTGCAGGGAGGACAGCAGGGTTTATATGAGCAAGGGATGGAGCAAGCCTGGGGGCCTGGGCAGAGAGGTGGGGGGACCCCTAGGTGTCAGCAGGGGTGGTGCGGGGAGGACCCCAGAGTCCGAGGGTGCTTTGGGCTTTTCCGTGAAGTGGAGGGCTGCAGCAGCGCTGTTCGGGGTGGGACAGGGCTGGGGCCTTGGGAGTCAGGGGCCAGTGAGGCCGTGTGTGCTGCTCTCCCTAAGGGCTGGAAGGCATCCTCCCAGCAGACACAGGGTCCATGTTTACTTTGTTAGACCGAACTAAAAAGAAAAACAACTCCCGCTGGAGAAAGATGGCCTTTCTTCTTCCACCGGCATGTCCCACCTGTCCCCCACATAACGCTGCCTGCCAAGGTAAGGCAGCTCTGTCTCCTGGACACTTCCCACGGCTAGCAGGGGGAGTCATTGATGACCACAGGGTGGATCCCCCTGGACCCAAGTGGGAGGGAGGGCAGTAGCCTCCAACTGGGGTCCCAGGAGGCTTCTACCAACCACACCCCAGCTTCATGCCCTTTCCACACCAGGAGCCACACCAGACTCAGTCACCCACGTTCTGGCCCCTTCTGCCTTCTGGTGGGGTCTCCCCCCCATACTGCCCACTGTCTGAAGGAGGAGGAGACCTAGGTCTCCAGCAGCAAGGAGCCCTTTGCTGCCAACAGCTCCCCACTACCCCCCGACAGATAGAGGGGCCCCGGATTGTCAAAAAGACACGCACGCTGGCCTTTCCTGACCTCACGGAGCAACCCTGCCAAAGGCCACTGGGCCTACGAGTCTTTTAGGCCAGCACAGACCAGAGGGCACCCAGCCCAACCTGCCAGACGCCCCGCTGCGCCCAGACACTGAGGCCTGCCCTCATCAAGGCAAGCTGGGAAGGAGTGGGAGCGAACACACACAGACCATCAGGGGAGCCCGGGGGAGGGCAGGATGGGTTAAGCAGCAGATTAATGCATCTCTACTCAGACCAAGGGAAGCGGAAGTGAGGAGGGGGCAGGAGGAGGGCGCCTGGTCTCCGATGCATCCAATGCATCCATCATCCTCACGGTCAAACACAGCCAGCCAGGATTCTAACTAGAAGCCGAGCTCCGGAGCCTCGGAGGGAATGAAGCATTTTGCATGATGGGTGTGGGGGAGGTCATAACACCCAGGGGCAGCGGGCGGCACTTACGTCACTCATAAGCCCCTTAAACACCACCAGCTCAGCCTTGAGCCGCTCGATCTTCTCATTCATCTCCTCCTGGATGGCATCAGCCTCCTGTGCCGCCTGTGGGGACGGAGATACGGAGGCTTCAGAGGGGCCAGGTCCTCTGGGGATAGGAGGGTCTGGACTCCTGAGTCCAGAGCCCTGGGCACTCAATGTCCACCCCAGCTGGGCACCTGCATGCCAGGGAAGGGGCACGAAGGACCTTGTCCCAGCCTGGCTTCCCCCCCAGCACTGCTGACTGTTTAAAATACTTTTCACTATCACATGGAAAAATCCATGGCAGATATTAAAAGAAAAAGAGCAGGTTAATGAACAAGCAATCCTATTACATTAAAAACACGAGATCAGGCCAGGGACAGTGGCTTACACCTATAATCTCAGCACTTTGAGAGGCCAAGGCAGGCAGATCATGAGGTCAGGAGTTCAAGACCAGCCTGGCCAATATGGTGAAACTTCGTCTCTACTAAAAATACAAAAATTAGTCGG